CTGGGTGACTTAAACAACACAAGTTTATTTTTGCACAGTTCTGGAGGTTAGGAGTCTAAGATCAAGGTCATCAGGGTTGCTTTCTTATGGGGCCTTTCTTCCTGATTTGCAGATAACTGCCTTCTTGCTGTGTCTTCACTTGACCTTTCCTCTGTGCACACATACAGGGGGAACAGAGCGAGTTCTGGTGTGTCTTCCTCTTGTTATAAGGACACCAGTCCTATGTGATAGGCCCTACCCTTATGACCTCATTTAACCTAAATTACCTCCTTAAAGGCCCTGTGTCTAAGAACTGTCACTTTGGGGGTTAGGGTTTCTACATATGAATTGGGACTGGGGAGGTGACACAATTTAGCATGTAACAATGCCCCAAATAATGGATCCATGTCAGGCATAACTCTAATTGGGCAAATAAAAAGAATAAGATTGAGGAACTCCTGCTTGCCCATGAGTAAATACAATGAGACTGAAAAGGCAAACAGAATAAGCTTTCAGGGTGGATTGGGATGGAAGAAAAGGTAAAACAAAGATTTTCCCCTCCCTCTCCCCCCTCTCTATTTTTTTTTTTTTTGAGATGGAGTGTTGGCCTGTCACCTGGGCTAGAGTGTGATGGCATTAGCCTACCTCACAGCAACCTCAAACTCCTGGGCTCAAGCAATCCTCCTGCCTTAGCCTCCCAAGTAGCTGGGATTGCAGGCATGTGCCACCATGCCCCCATGCCTGGCTAATTTTTCTAATTTTAGTAGAGACGGGATCTCGCTCTTGCTCAGGCTGGTCTCAAACTCCTGAGCTCAAGTGATCCTCCCACCTCGGCCTCCCAGAGTACTAGGATTATAGGCATGAGCCACCACGCCCGGTCTAAATAACAGAATTAATCCTACTTGAATTGAAAGTTGAAGTAAAGCTGTAAGAGTTACTGAATTAAACCTAACTTCCTTTAAGGTTAGAAAGAAAAGTAATTTTAAAAATTGAGATTGAAGTTATAGTTTTTTGGTGACTAATTGTATTTGTGAGAATTTTTTTCTTCGGGTCATTTGTAATCCAATTTAGGAAGAATTCATGCCTTTCCCAATTTTAATTTTGAAAAGGTCTTAGGATCATTCATTTGAGAATTTTAGTTTCTGATTTGGAAAATGGCCTAGACCAGTACCTTTCATGCTGTGTTAGAGGGAAAGAGTTCTGGGCTTTTACAGAAGTGCTGTGTAGCTTCCTCATCTCTGCTTTTATCTATTTCGTATATTGTAATTTTGTAGAAAATTTTGGGAATAAAAAGTTCTGCTATCTTAAGAAAAAGTTTGAAAAATATTGAGCATTATGTATGTTGGTAGCAGACTACAAAAAAAAAAAAAGAAAAACCTAGTACCTAGTAATATAGCTTTCTTTACTTTCTTTTTGTATTTCAGAATTGACGAAGTGCTTATGTCTCTCGCTTTAAAAGTATAGATGACTATTGTATTTCTGTGACTTAAGTGGTAAACTACTGAGAATTACAGTGAGTGTGCTGACAGCCCCTTAGATTACACCGAATTTTACTGGCACCACTATATTGTATAGATACCTGTGAAGTTAGCATGATGACAGTAACAACGTAAACTGCAAATGATAGACTTACTGTACTAAAGTTGAAAGCTTTAAAAAAAACCACTCCTGGCTACTTCAATGGCTATGATAAACCAAAAAACATTGGCCACTATGTTTACCCAGTGATAATTTACCAGCCCCTATAATGGTCAGCTATAATTGAAAGGCTGGTTAAATTACTGCAATTTCACCTGATCTGCCACATTGTGAAAGAATAATCACTTGACGAATTTGTGGGCTTAAAATCAAAAGAAACAAATTTTGAAAGTATATGCTCTAGCCCTAGTTGTTAAGAAAGAGTTCCTTTTCCTAGACCACATTAGTGACTTCCATATTTGTGCAGATTAAGAAAATTTTTTTACTGGTCTTAATTCAAAGAAAATCCTTGTAGTTTTGGCCACACTAAAATATAGATTAATAGAAAATCCCCACAATGGAATTACGTTTTATAGTTAATGGATGCATTTAGTGTTAATTTTAGTAACTGGGTGCAAGTTTTTGTGGAAAACAAAGGTGGTTCCTGGTGTAGTACCTTTAATAGTGAGGTGCTTTTTTTTTTTTTTTTAATTTCATACCTCACTTGCGAAATGAACTATGAACTACCCTGTCAAATTTTAGGATCACTAGCTTCAAGGGAGCAGTTTTAGTGACTACAGGCCCCCTATTGTTGGGGGAAGTTTTCCAAAAACCTAATTAGTAGGCACATGCCATTATGGTTCAAAACAAAATGATGAGCTTGCATCTTGTTAGCCACCAGATGTGTGCTGATGCTCTATTAGGCTTCACAGAGCATTGTTGTTTACAGCCCTGTTTCTTGCCTGAGCTTTCTTGATGAACTGGAATCAAGTTTTGTTATAAAACCTAATACTAGATCACTGTGATCCAGCTTAAAGAGGGGATTTCCTCATCTCCACTACACCAGTATTTTCACTGAGTTAGGGAATGTTGGTTATTCACTCACTAGTGGACCATGCTACATGTGGAGTTGAAAAGTAATATAAGGCATAGCTTTGCCAACAAGTGGGCTTCTAGTTAGTATGGGAGAAATGCAGTCACTGAATAAATAAATAGATAGCAGAGAGTATTAGGACTTTTAATTTCAATAAATTTGAAAGGAGGTAAAAGAGTAGGATGAGGTTGCCAGAGGAACGGGAACTGCAAATGGAAAGACAGAAAGGAGAGGGAAAAGTATTTTTGAAGGCATGCTTAAAGAAATAACTCAAGAATACACTGACTGGGCCGGGCGCGGTGGCGCACGCCTGTAATCCTAGCACTCTGGGAGGCCGAGGCGGGCGGATCGTTCTGAGCTCAGGAGTTCGAGACCAGCCTGAGCAAGAGCGAGACCCCGTCTCTACCAAAAAAAATGGAACAAAATTAATTGGACAGCTAAAAATATATGTAGAAAAAATTAGCCAGGCATGGTGGCGCGTGCCTGTGGTCCCAGCTACTCGGGAGGCTGAGACAGTAGGATCACTTGAGCCCAGGAGTTTGAGGTTGCTGTGAGCTAGGCTGACGCCATGGCACAAAAAAAAAAAAAAAAAAGAATACACTGACTGACACATTCACGTATAGTAGTCATCTTACTCTAAATCAGTTCAAAGAACTGCAAAAAGATGATCCTAGAATAAAATGATAAGTAATAAGGTAGTTCTTTTTGAGAAAAGGCTTGTGAGACTAGAGTCAAATCCCAAGTGAAGACAGGCTTCTCAAAAAGCTATTACAGCTATCCACACAGATGAGCAGAATGATAGGATGGAAAGACCACTTGAATTAAGAGTCAGGAGGCTTAGATTCTATTAATAGTTTGGGCTCTGACACTAATTCTGTGGCTGGAAGCACATCCCTGAGCCTCCCTGAGACTCCATTTTCTTTGCTATAAAGTGAAGTTTTGGACCAGTTGGTCTTTAAATGCCTTCCATCTTTGAAATTCTTTGTCTCTGTCTTTTCTGCACATGTAAACATCACATCTAATCCTTGTTAGTGGCATTATTTCCACTGGGAAAAGCTATTAATATTTGCAACTCTTATGTTCAAAGGGCCAATTTTTCTTGTATGTGAAGAGTGTGTGCAAATTAGTTGGAAAAAGCAACAACCTAATAGGAAATCTACAAAAGAAACTGTTCATTAAAAATTATTCAATCCGTTTGTTCCTTTCCTTTCTGTAAAAATGAGAAGTTTTCTTAAGCATATGAAAAAAAAGCCATTAAATATCTGAGAAAATGCCTATTCTCATTCATAAGAAAAAATGCAGTTTAAAAATATGCTGAGATAACCATGTTTTACCTATTAGATTGATACAGATCGCAGATCCAGAGTTAAAACATCTTTTGAAAAGTCTACAGGAAAGCAAGCACTTTCAAAAATTGCTGATAGCATTAAAAATTATTACAGCATGTGTGGGGTACAATTTGGGAATCTGTAGCAAATTTACTAATACACATTCCCTTTCCCAGCAATTTCACTTCTAGGAATTTAGCCTCCTGATGTATTTCCACACAAAGAAACTGATAAATACATAGAGTCATTCATTGCAGGATAGTTTGTGATAGCAAAAGATTATGAACACAAATGTCCATCAGTAGGGGGCTGGTTAAACAAATTATGATGCAGCCATTAAAATGGAATAATGTGCAGTCATTAAACAGAATAAAGAAACTTCATGTGGAATGAAGTCTAAGGTATATGTTAAGAGAAAAAAGCAAAGTATGAATTATATATTTATGTATTATGCTACGATTCTTGCAATAAAAAGGGAGGAAAAAGTAGTAAATGTATTTGTTTTTGTGTGCATGAAGTATCTCTGGAACTACGCATAAGAACTAATTGCTTGGTCTCTAGAGTTAACAACTAGGTGGCTAGAGTACAAGAGTACGAGAAAGACTTTTCAAAGAAGACCTTTTACATCTGTTGAATTTTTACCCATGAGGATTTACCTATATAATAAATTTCTAATGAAAAAAAAGAAAACACCATTCAGGTCAAATTAAAAAAGGAAGCATCACATTGTATCAAATGCTTTTACAGATCCTACAACCTTAATAATCTCATGTATTTTTTTTCTTTGCTATCTAGCTGGAGATACCATAGCTATCTCTCTGTGAATAGAACTATTCACTAAATTTCCTAATACTAAGTCATTCCTAAGTGATCCTTATGTGACCTTTTTTAATACCTTGCTAGTTTGTATTTGTTTATATTTAAAATTTTTGCATTAATATTCAAAACCGAGATTTGTTTCTAGTGGGTATTTTGTCCGTCATCTTTGACATGTTTTGATAAGGAATATTATGAAACTCTATAAGAGAATTGGAAAGATATCTTTTCCCTTTTTTCTTCCTCCTTTCCCCTCAAGGCAGACAAGCTAAGTTGAAATACTCTTGATATTTTTGCATATACAGTAATTGTAGTTTTATCCTCAGGAAGAAGAAGGAAATACTTGCAAAACACAAAAAACATCCTGGCTCCAAGATTGTGTTTTATCCTTGTCTCCAACCAATGATCTTATGGTCATAGCTCGGGAGCAAAAAGCTGTATTTCTAGTGCGTAAGTATCCTATTATTTTCAGTGGCCTTTATTTTAATGCATAGGATGGAACAGAAAATGGATAAGGTGGAAAGAAAAAATGTTACTTCTATTGTATGCATTATACAGTGGCATCTGTAGGATGTATGCATGTATGTATGTATGTACGTATATATGTATTTATTTACTGTTTTGAGACAGAGTCTTGCTCTGTTGCCCAGGCTAGAGTGCAGTGGCATCATCATAGCTCACTGCAATCTCAAACTCCTGGTCTCAGGCAATTCTGTTGCCTTAGCCTCCGGAGTAGCATGCCACCACACCTGGTTAATTTTTCTATTTTTTATAGAGACAGTGTCTCGCTCTTGCTCAGGCTGGTCTTGAACTCCTGGCCTCAAGTGATCCTCCCGCTTCAGCCTCCTAGAGTGCTGGGATTATAGGCGTGAGCCACCGTACCGGCCTTTTATTTTATGTATTATGTAACACTTTTTATTTCCTTTCCTTTTTTTGTTTTTTTTTCCTCTCTCCTCTCTTTATCTCTCCTTCCTATTCTGTTTGTTTCCTCTCTATTTTTCTTTCTTGGCTATTGATACTTTAGGTATCTCTCTGGTACTTCAGAGGCAGTGCTGGACATTGCCCAGTTCTCGCAAGAGACAGAGCTAAAAAAGGTCACTCACCTTTTCTTAGTAACAGTGTAAGTGAGGTGATTTTCAACTATAATTTGAAAACTTATAATATTGTAGATTTCTGTTTTGGACATAAATTTTCAGCTTATAATTTTTTGTTGAAGATTAAAATTAAGATTTGAGGATATATAGGATATGAAAAATCTCACTGATCTAAATAGATTATGTATAAAATGGCCATGGAATGGTGTTATAATGCAAATTTAGTTTCCAGTAGCATAAATCTAATAGAAAATTCTTCTTTGCCATCTGACGATAAAAGTAGTCTTATAAATAATACAGGTAGGGTGGGTATAGGGATTAATAACTTTATTCTGCAAGAACTATGACAACATTATATGGGTTTAATTGCAGGAAGGGGAGACCAGGAGACTAGGTGGTTTTATAAAATCTTATAAAATTTTTAAAGCATTATCTTATATTTACCTATAAAAAGACCCAAATCAGTTAATACAGAACTATTACATTTTGTACTCATCATCCTAAAGGGAAAGAGCAAAATTTGTAAATTGCTATTTTAGTGTATACTATAGCTAAAGTTATTTTATGTGATATCTTAATTTTTTCAGCAAAATGGAAATACAGTGATAAAGGAAAGGAAGAAATGCAATTTGCTGTTGGTTGGAGTGGTTCTTTAAATGTTGAAGAAGGGTAGGTACCAGTTAATTTTTTTTTCTGTATGTTAAATGTATGTATGAAATTATTTGACTTATAAGTGAATGTATTAAGAAGTTTCATTATTTGGAATGTTTAGTAAATGTATATGCATTCTAACTTTAGAGGTTGCAGAGAATGATTCAGTCAGCAAATTTAATTTTGCATGTGGTTTGTTTTTTTTAAAATCCTGTTTGAAGATTTGAAGAAAGCAGGAAAAATACCACGAAATCCTTTTCACATTTTGTCTTTTCTCTCTGTTATCCATTACTAATTTTATTCATCCAAAAAAGTCAAGGACAGTCATTGTCTTCTCTGCTCTGCTAGTATTGGGCTTGTACTTGAAGGGTACAGTGCTACATTAATTCTTAAAACTCATGAATACTTCAGAAGTGCAAGTTGGTACATTTAAGTTTCCTGCTGACCCAGTAGAACTTTTAAAACCATGATCTCTGGTGTGGTTACATGATGGAGCTGCTCACCTAGAACCTTGAACCCGAAACTGTTTTCATTTAAATTTTTACAACTGAAAACTGTCTTACCAGAACGAATAAGAAGATCCTTCAGACTTTGAATTCAGACAAAAGACAACCAAGTGGAAGTGCCTAGTACATGCCTGGCACATTAGATACTCAATGAAATGTTTTCTACTATTATCACGATAAGTGATATTTCTCCTTAGGTCAATTAGTCGAAACATTTTAAAGGCATTTAATTTCTGTCAGAAATGCAAAGCAAACATATTACTTTAAACCAGCACAAAGATTAATTTTGTTACCTAGTCTGACTACACTCCTAGTGCAGGAGCATTTATAGTTTCTTGAATAAGCTGGTGTTGGCCCTCAGGCTTGACAGGTCAAAGTCAGTCGGTAGGAGTTGTTTTGATTTTGAGACTTAGGCTCTGAGCTCCTGACAAATATTTCAAGCCTACATGCCAGGAAAAAAAATATTTTTTAAGGAACATCAAACCTAACATGTGCTTATAAATGGTTATCGGGGCCATATCCTCAAGAGAAGAAACCAACAAGTTGAAATAAAGTCAGTCCCTATAACAGTGTATCCTGCAGAAATACAGTTTGCATGTAGTGTGACCAGCAGTTCTGTGACCCTCTGCCCAGCCCCTGATCTCTAACAAGGAAGCAGGCCGAAGTTCTCGGCTGAAGCAGAGGAGAAAGGGGATAGTAGGAAATGATTGCCTGGTGATCATTTGAGATTTTCTCAGTACTGTATACAGTTAGTCGCGTAAGTGAAGTTTAGCTTTCTTTACTTTGATGCTTTTCCTGACAATACAGAATGAAAAATCCTGGATTTTGTGGAATTTTTTTTTTTTTTTTTTAAGAGATGAGTTCTCGCTATGTTGCCCAGGCACGTTTCAAACTCTGGCCTCAAGCGATCCTGCCCCCTCAGCCTCCCAAGTTGCTGGGATTACAGGCATGAACCACTGCTCCACTGACTGAATCTCGTTTTTTATTAACCTCAATCACATGCGATGTTATATTTTATGTGAATGAATTTTATGGACCCTACATATGGTGGAATTTTACTGTATTTTTACTTATGCATTGAATACAACTGGTCCACACAGGTCATCTTCCACTTACTACCATTTAACATCAGATATAGAGAAATAAAAATAGTTGATAAGTTCAGTGGATAAATACATAATTTTGTTTTTGTCTTTAGGGAATGTGTAACCAGTGCTTTATGTATCCCACTAGCAAGCCAAAAGAGGTAAGGATAAATAAGACTTATCTGTTCTCTTTGCTTTGATATATGAGCTGTTAAGATCATCAATTTTGTTTTTAACAGGAGTTCGACTGGACGTCCCGACTGGACCTGCATTGTGGTGGGCTTCACTTCTGGTTATGTACGCTTCTACACTGAGGTAAGTTGAGTTCTCAACAGTTAGAAAACACTAGTTGACTGCATCCCTGTTAAACTAGTTTGTGGCTTCATTACCTGCTGTTTGGCAATGTGTAGTTGATGCTTTATGGGGGTAAAGGCTGGGACAGGCAGTGAGTGGAAAGTTCTGGTAGAAGATACAAAGGAGAGCAATTGTAGTCTGAAAAGAGAGTACCTGGTATCTGTGGAAAACTGTTGGGGAAATGGTACTCTCTGCCTGGCCATACCTGCTCAGGTATATTGGTAAGAAAACAAACAGGGCCCTTCTCTGTGCTTCCTCCTAGAATGGTGTGCTCTTGCTTGCACAGCTTTTGAATGAGGACACGGTTCTTCAGCTTAAATGCAGGACCTATGAAATCCCACGACATCCTGGCGTGACCGAGCAGGTAGTGTAAACAATTGTGTTCAAATAGTAACAGTGGCATTACTTTGAAGCAGTCAGTCTTTCCCTCTTTATTGGGTGGAAACGTTAAGATATCTTTGTGGCACAGTTAGCTGCACTGTCATAGTCTAGAAATAGAATCTGTTTGTAGCTGAGTAAAGAATACCTGTCTTGCTTTTACTTATTTAACGAAATAATGTATGTTTGTTCTACAATAAAATAAAATACTTTAGTTAGAAGCCAAAAAAACTTTCTTATTTTTAGAATTTAATAGTGACTTAAGGCAAAATGTGGTATTATATAATTTTATGTCTTTTAATTTAGATTTAGGTGTCAAAATTACCTATAGTGAAAGAAAAAAAGTTTTGGCCATATTGTTAATAGTACTACTACTTTGTATTTAACTATTTCTCAGAAAGGGGATTATTAAGTTTTTGTTATAGTGGAAAATATTTTGTATTCATTGAAGATTTTAACTGAGAAAATAATACTGTTTAGTATCGAAAGCTGTCACTTCTTCTTAGGTGCCTTGTAAGATTTTGGTTGTCTCACAGTTAAAAAATAATGGCCATTCAAACCTATGTGCTTTTATTTGTTTTGCAGTGTGCATAGTCAAAACTATACAATATGCCTTCCTTTTTTGTACTACGTGTCCTCCAAAAGATTTCAAGTAAACAGATGTATATATTGTATCCATATGTGGACTTAAATTGCATGATAGATGGACTAGAGCTATAGAAGAAACAATAGGAGAGACTAGGACTAAAATCTGTTAATACCTATGAATAAATTAGTAATACAAAGCAATACCTAATTAATTATAAATTTATATGGACAGAATAAATTCTGTACAAATTTAGAGAAGAGGAGCTCAATTAAGACTAGGACAATAAGGGAAAATTTCATTGAGGAAGTGAAATTTGCATTAATCCTTGAATAATAGGTATAGAATTAGGTATTGGAAAAAGGGGAAAGTATTTCAGGTAGTTAGTAGAAAAATGAGAGATGATTCAAATGTAGGACTATATGTCAAACAACAAAGAAACTCTCATTAGAAAATAATGAGAAACTGTTAATAGGCAGAGTGGCCAAATTTTGTCTAAATTCAAAAGTCAAGTAAAAATTAGAATTGATTCAGGTGATGAGAGAAACTCCTAAAGATCTAGGAAAAGAAAGTGATATTGAAGAACTTTTTCTTCAGGATGAACTGGAATTAGGGAGGCTAGATATCTGGTTTTTTAAGTTATTTGTAATAGATGTCGGCTGTTGAGAGCCAGTACTAAAATGGCTGTGGGAAGAGAAATGGTCAGTACAAAAATTATTTTGAAGGAGCAATTGATAAAACTTGGTTATTGTGTAGAGATATAGAATATTAAAGAAAGAAATGAGCTAAAGATGTCTCTAAGATATTTATCCTGGGGAGTTCCATTAACAAAGTTGGAAGAGGGGACTGTTTTGGCAATAAATAAAGGTTATTTATTGTGGATTTGGACACGTTGAGTTTGAGGCAATGGTAGGAAATGAAATGAAGATACCGGAATCAGGTAATGATACGAAACTACTGTGTAGGCACAGAGACTAGATTGGAGATGATCATTGAAGTCATAGGTAATGAATGAATTCTTCCAAGTGAAAGACATAGGAAAGTAAAACTGCAGGCTGAAGACTTAAGTCTTAGTAACTGATAATATTCATCATAAGGAGATAGAAAATCGGACTATTGAAGGAGACAAAGAAGGAGCAATTGGAAATCTAAGAAAATAATCTGTGAATTCAAGATAATTTTCAAGAGTTGTTTTCCATTTTTCTACAAATTCACTGGATGATGAAGGTTCAAACACTTTAAACTTGGTCATGTTTATAATACTTTTTTTTAGAACTGGTGGAAAAATATAACTAATACTTAAATACTTGCTTGCTATTTGCTGTGTAAGCCAAGAAAATCATCTTTTAGCTGAAAAATAATTCTTATTGATCATGGAGAAGGAAGTATTATATTTGTTGTTACTCTGTATGTTATGTAAGCATCTCTGCATCTGATACATCAATTTATATATCAAAAATATCTTCTATATGCTTTTTAATATACTCCCAGATCTATCAGAGATCACAGAAGCAAATTTCCTCTAATTCAATTCTGGAAGCAATGAGTGTACTAGGATGACAGAGGGTCATTGCAGGAGAAGATTCCAAAGACAGAGGAGAAAGTCTCTTTCTGGAATGTCAAAGAAACTTCTTTGGCTTCTGTAAAAAGATCTTCCCTATCACCTAGCACAGTTTCTACAGGTTTTGGGCCATCAGTGTTTGTGTTAGTGTTTTCTTCAGGAAGACCATCTGGTTTTGGAGATTATTGCCTTGCTGGTGATTAGGTCCTTTCTGTCTTCCAGCTCCTCAAAGTCAAGGAGGAGGTTCTCTCCTCACTGCCATACTCAGGGGGCCACGCATGCTTAGCTTTGTGAACCCGTCATGTGAACACGCATGCCAGCTCCCTTGCCCCTCATGGCCCAAAAAGCTCTTTTAAAAATAGAAACAGCCTTACAGTCCAGTAGAGAAAGGAGTAAGCAGATCTCCAAAAAAGAAATACAATTGATCAGCAAGCATGAGAAAATTTTGAACCTTAATAGTAATCTAAGAACTGTAAGAAAATATGAGATAACTTTTCATCTTTTAGATTGATAAAGATGAAAATTAACGAAAGTGTTGGTGACAGTATGGAGAAAGAGATACTCTCGTATATTAGTAGAAGTAAAAATTGATAGGTATATTTTGAGGCAGTTTAATAACGTGCACAAAAATGAAAACTGTGAATACCCTATGACCCAATAGACCCTCTCGAAGGATTAACGCTAGAGTAACATCCCACTAATGTGAAAAGATAGAGACAGAAAAATGTTTGTTGCAATGATGTTTATAGTAATGAAAATATATTAATTCATTTATAAATATTAACTTCCTGTTATATGTCCAGTTCACTTCCAGTCTCTGAGGATTCATTAGTGTACTAGACACACAAAGTTCCTGCTTTCATGGAGCTTACAGTTTGGGGGTGGTAGAGGGAATCCAACAGTAAACAATTAGAGATATCAAGGTGATTCCAGTCTTTGATAGGTGCTCTGAAGGACGTCATCATGTTGATAAGACAGTAATGTGGCACGAGAATGGGGATGTTTTTTGAGATGGAGGCTCAGGAGCAGTCTTTCTGAGTAACCAACATTTGAGCTAAGACCTGAAGGATCAGAACAGTTAGGCAGGTGAAGATCTGGGAGGAGAAGGTCCAGGCAAGTGCAAAGGACTGAGACGATGATGACCTTTCTGTTCAAGGAGCAAGGGCAGAGAGATGTGAGATGACACTAGAGATAGGTGCCAGATCTTGCAGCCATGGTTAAAGAGTTCAGGTTTTACTCTAAATGCAAAAGGAAGCCATTGTAGAGTTTTAATCAGGAAAGTGTTTTGACCTGCTGTGTCTCATGAAGATCACACTGGCTATGTGGAACATGGATTGCAGAGAACAAGAATGGAAGTGGAGGGGCGGGGCTGGGTGTGGTGGCTCGCACTCCTGTAATCCTAGCACTTTGGGAAGTTAAGCCAGGAGGATCGCTTGAGGATAGGAGTTCAAAAGCAGCCTGGGCAATAGTGAGACCCCATCTCTACAAAAAATTTAAAAATTAGGCAGGTGTGGTGGCACGGGCCTGTAGTCCTAGCTCTCAGGAGGCTAAGGCAGGAGGGTCACTTGAGCCCAGGGGTTTGAGGTGGCAGTGAGCTGTGATGACACCTCTGTACTGTAGCCTGGGAGACAGAGAGAGACTTTGTCTTAAAAAAAAGAAAAAAAAAAAAGAATGGAAGCAGGAGGTCAAACTGAATGTCGTCCATCAATAAGAACTAGTTAAGTAAATCTGGGTACATATAATGAAATACTGTACAGCCACGACAAAAAATGATTTGTTTACTTACTGAAATGGAAAAATATCATTGACATATTGAATAATAAAAAACATGTTATAAAATATTATATGTGGTATGGTCTCATGCAAATGCATGTGAATATATTTGAGGATATGCATTGAGATATGTCTGGGATTTCAGCTGAGTCTTTTTTCTGTTTTCATATAGTGTTTGTATCTATGGATGACTATATTTAATTTTTATGAAATTGTAATTGTTTTTGTTATTCTCACCATCTATCTTGAGAGCGTTTTTCATCATATACAAAAGGTTACATTTGAGAAGAATTTTAAGTCTTTGGCCAAAAGGCATTCTGAAATTAATTTTCCATTTGTTTTTACTGTTCCTCTGCCTGATACTGCTTTGTGTATTAGGCGGTTGAATTTAGTCATAGTATTTGTTTTTTTTTTTTCGAGACAGGGTTTCGCTCTGTCACTCAGGGTGGCATGCAATGGCACAATCATAGCCCACTGTAACCTCAAACTCCTGGACTCAAGCTATCCTCCCACCTCAGCCTCCCAAGTAGCTAGGATTACAGGCATACGAGACCATGTTTGGCTACTTTTTTTTGTAGAGACGGGGTCTCGCTATGTTGCCCAAGCTGGTCTCAAACTCCTGGCCTCAGTGATCCCCTCACCTCTAAGTGCTAAGATTACAGATGCGAGCCACCATGTCCAGCCAGTATTTTTAATTTTACATTATTCATGAAATTCAGGTATAATAAAAAAAATAGACAATGCCTCTTTGACATATCTATTTAAGAAATTTTATTATTATTTTCTTTCTTATTTCTTAAATAGAATGAAGAGTTGAGTATCTTATATCCAGCTGCCATTGTGACCATTGATGGATTTAGCCTTTTTCAGTCTCTTCGTGCTTGTCGAAATCAGGTAGCAAAAGGTAATATTTGGGCAAGAAATATTTAACTTCTGATGTGTTTGTTTTATTTATTGTGACCTACTTACAGAATTAAGTACGAGGGCTGTCCGAAAAGTATCCAGCCATTGTTAACGTAGTTTTCATATTACATGGCTGGATACTTTCTGGACAGTCCTCCTATATCTTCTAAATAAAAAAGGCCTCCTGAACTAGATTTAAGGGGAAAACCCTTCTCCTGTAGACATGGGCATGCAGTTGGGTAGATTGCTCAGTAAGGTAATGACAAGGGCTGAAACATCAGCACTCTTCACATGTTGCTGGTGGAGAGTGTGGCCAGCACAGGAACAGCATGATTTCTTAACTAATTCAGCAATATGTGTTGGCTAGTTAGAGAGATTAATATTTGCACCTGTACTGACGATCAACTTTGGGGTGAGGCATTTAATTGTGTCTAGCTGAGGTACCAAATTTTTCACTAAATCAACAACTCTGGGGCCACTATACCGAATCAAATCTTGTGACTCCACATTGCTTCCATCCTTGCTGAGGCTAAAGATACCACTGTGTGCAGGGGGAGTTTTGCTCACAGTAGGCAGGACCCAGCGGGGAGTCAACGTGACCTTCCTTCTTTTTGCTAACTTGGAACACTTCTGAATGGAGAAAAGCTAGAGGCCTAAACTTAATGTATATATTGGCAACTACACTATTTCCAGGGATGAAAACTGCCCAAATAATCAAGAATTCTTACTTTTACTACCCATAGTTTACATTCTGATGCTATTGTATCTTTGGGAAAGGTATTTCATGAAATTCAAGAAGCCATTGATTGTAACATGCACTGTTATTTTATATGCCACTAAGAAAAAAAAATGTTGCCAGTGAATGACACACCATGGATTTTAAGATCCCAATTTTAGAGATGTAAAAATATGGGGAGGAACAGTCTTAAGATCAGTGAAAATACGAATGGTAGTGCCCACTTCCCCTTGTCTTCTGAGATTGGACATAGGAGGCTTAGTGGCCCTGAAATGAAGTTTAACTCCTAAATGGTTGAGACAGCTCCCTGAAAACATACACTAATTAGGATATGTTTGCTGCTTCATAAAAATTATTTCTAAATCTAGATTGAACTATAAGATGCAAAGTAAGCAGTTTCTTCCAGAGGAAAATGTAGCATCTTATGTTGCAATAAAAAAGTTTTCTCTGTCTTGATGTGATTGGTAAAATTCTGAAGTCTTGGTTATATGGTTCTTTAATAGTACATGCATTTTTACTAGGCCAGAATTTGTTTGAATTTTTATGCCTATGTTCGTGATCTTTTAAATTATTTCAATTTAACCCACCATAAGCTTCATTATCTTGAGAACATTTAAAATACTCACCATTGATATACATGTCCAAAGAGACTGTATATTCTGTAGGTAACAATTCTATTACTTAAACTAGAGATAGATAATTATGTTATAATTGGTATTATCAACCATTTAATTTTTCACCATTTTTGAATTCCTGTTTATTTGTTGTGCGTAAGGCCATAAAACCATTTTGTCTCCTAGAAAGTAAGGAATTAAACCACTTAGTGCTCTCTTATTGTAAGTTGCTCTAAAAAGAATTCTGGTTACTTAGCCACAAATTGTTGTGACAGTTATTTCAGCATACAGGAAAATTCTCTCTTCTTGGTCTTATTATCAAATCTGCAGTGTTTAGAGGATTATATTTTTCCCTAATTAAAGTACTTTTCTTCACTTTCCAGAAGAGCCAGAATTTTGCAGTATTGTGATATGTAGCATGGGAATTTCTTGATAAATGGGACCTTGTGCATGAACCTACGGCAAGAGACATAACTTTCATGCTCATTAGGTAGAGGGACGGAGGTTAAAGATTGGCCTTTGATTAATTTTTCTGGCAATGCTATTGCTGTTAACGTACCTTTCTATCAAATATGGCCTCAGTTACCTAGATTAGAGACTTTGCTGTACAGATGCTCTGCCAGGTATATCACGTTTTCAGTTTGTCACTGAGTAAAGCACTGGTTGCAGTTCCCAGGATTTTACCCACTTTCTTAAGAGAGAGAAATTACTTACTTTGCATCACTTGCAGATTGAATCCACCTTGATTCTTAGTAGTATCTTAGGATTTTTAATAGTCTTCTTTAATTACTTAAGTGTTCCAAAATCTTTTGTGACAGGCCAATTTAGTCTTTTAAATGTTAGCGTGTTATGTGCATTGACTTGGCATGAATAACTCTCACTTTATGTCTTGTATTTGTTATTTCGTCTCATTATTACTAGTTGAAATTTTAGAATAATAAATTGTTATATTTTTAATGATTTTTTTGTAAAATTTTATCTTATCCATTATAATTAATTTTAGATTATCTATTCTTTTTATCTTTGATAGCTGCAGCGTCAGGCAATGAGAATATACAACCACCACCGTTAGCTTATAAGAAATGGGGTCTACAAGATATTGACACGATTATTGATCATGCTAGTGTTGGTAAGTATTATTAGTTCACATTATTTTGGAATTCTTATACTTTTTGATTGAAGTGTCTCATTTATTAAAAAATGGACATTTATTCTTGTGTGAAAAAATACATTACCTTTAGTGAGACATGTGGAAATTAGTTCAGACTCATGGCTTATGTCTTTAAGAAATGGTAGCAGTTTTAATAATGATTTAATTATGTCCTCAGCAGTAGTCTTGTACAATTTTAAGTCACTCACTATTTGACTTAATTCTTCTACAGACAGGTTTGTCCATATAATGACCATGTAAATCAGTCTTTTAAAAATGTAACCTTTAGGCCTGGCGTGGTGGCTCATGCCTGTAATCCTGGCACTCAGGGAGGTAGAGGTGGGAGGATCACTTGAGCTCAGGAATTTGAGACCCTGTCTTTACCAAAAATAGGAAAAATCAGCTGGGTGTGGTGGCATGCGCCTATAGTCCCAGTTACTCAGGAGGCTGAGACAGGAGGATCGCTTGTGCCCAGGAGTTTGAGGTTGCTGTGAGCTAGGCTGACGCCATGGCATTCTAGCCCAGGCAAGAGCGTGAGACTCTTGTCTCAAAAAAAAAAAACAAAAATCATGAAGAGCCTTTCACGTCAATTTTACTAAACATACATTTTATTAGTCAGTGTCCTAATAGAAGACAGATGGCACACTTACAGGATACAAGTGGATACAACAGGATAATTGTAAGAAGGTTTATTTACAGAGAGCTATTTATAAAGATGTGATGTAGGAAAACCACAAGAGATAGGACAGTATCCTAGGACTTCTCAGCAGCCAAGCTGTTAACCATTCCTAGGCCTAAAGAGATGAGGGCAGGAAACAGTTTCAGAACTTACAGATAATGAGTAGAATCAGCACCTGGAGAGCAGGATGACTTTTGTTCAAGGGTCATAGCCACCTTTTCAGGGAAGGAGCCAGGGAAATAGATATCCTGACTTCGTTCTCCTTTCTATCTTTTATCTCCTGATGGGGCTTCCCATTGTCTGAACCCAACTTACAGTCAGCATGATTTATACAAACTGGCCCCTGGGACAGAGAGAGTGAGCAGGGAGAAAAGGAAGGAGTGTGAATCTAGAGGGGCGAACAGAAGATATCTGACTCTTACGTCATCTTTTTCTATTTACTGCATAGCTGTTGTATGGAATAGCCTGTAATAAAACTGGGTGAACATTTCAGTGTGTTACTTTTTCGCTAATATAAAAATGCTGCAAAATTCCAAAGTGTTGAGTTCAGTTCAGGGTAGCTTCCCTGCTCTGGTAATTAAACTTTGGAACATTGAAACTGGCTACGGGAAGTGACTGGATAGAAAATATTACTCTATTCATTTGTCCCCAGCCTACAAAATGGAAAAAAAAAAAAAAAAGGTGCAGGAAATTTGATTGTATGTACATCTTTATGTAAAGGTCTGGTAATTTATTCAGCAAATAAATGAATACCTATTATGTCCAGGGACTAATATTGGTGCTAGAAATATGGGACAGACAGGAACTCTGTTCCGATGACGCTTATATTCTGGTGATGGGAGACAATAAACAAACAAATGAATAAGTATGGTAATATAAAAATGTTAGTAAGCTTCATGAAGAGAATAAGCAGAAGGTTATGATAGAGAGTGAAGAAGAGGGTACTTTGGGTAGACTGGTGAGGAAAGGCCTTTCCAAGGAACTGACATTCAGACTGAGACTTGAGGGAAGAGAGGGAGCCAGCTGTGGGAAAAGCTGTAGGAAGAGCATTCTAGGCAGAGGAGGCAGCAAGAATAAAGGCCTGGGGACCTCAAAGACCTCAGAGTGTTCAAGAAGCAGAAAGGAGGTCTGTGTGACTT